TATCAGTGAAAGTACTGCTATGTGAGATGTCTGAGATTTTACTGCCAAGGTGTTTTTTTTAGGATTTTTATGGTTTTGCAACGTACATTTAGGTCTTATATCCATTTATGGTTTATTCTTGTGTATGGTGTAAGTTGGTGGTCTAGTTTCATTTTTTAACATGTACCTGTCCAATTTTCCCAACACCATTTATTGAAGAGTTAAATCACATCACACCCATAAACTAGCCCCTTTGCCATCATAGAAGAATTTATTGTGGAAATACTTGGTTAATTTTTTGTGTCCCTGTGTTTCTCTTCCTTCCACATGTTCATTGTCTGTCCTGTCAGTTCAGTTGGCTTCTCCAGGAACAGGAGAAGAAATAAAGTTGAAAAACAGTTCATCTGGACCCTTGTTTTTGCAATCTAGTGTGTTTTACAATCTAGAGGTGAAGAAAATGTCATAAAGGTATAATCACGGTTAGTAAAATTCCTGGAGAAAACCGTGTCAAAATAGTTACAATAGCAACAGCAGCAGCACTGATAGCTAACATTAAGAAAACACCCCACTTTATTACGTGCCAGGCATTGTCCTAAGTGCCTTACAGGCATTATTAGCTCATTTGATCCCCCAAACAACACGATGATTAGGCACTTTTATTGCTTGTGCTTAACAAACGAGAGAACTGTGACATTACCCAACAATGCTGGCTAACGCAGTGCCCCCATAGTTATCCTCTGTTTCATTAATGCTTTATTTGCTTCACTACATTAATTGCTATCTGAAATTTCCTACTGTACTGTTCTTGCCCCTATTAATGTTACTTGGGCAAGGGCTGCATTCTACTCACTGCTGTACCCCCAGCTTCTAGAACAGGCCTGGCTGCCAGTAATTACATAGGGTGTCCCTCCAAAAAATGTATACTCATAGTTTGAATAATTACAAAGGCAATGTTTATTAAAATGCATTTCATTTTTTTTAAAAAATATATCTTTATTGATTTCAGACAGAGGAAAGGAGAGGGGGAGAGAGAGAGAGACAGAAACATCAATGATGATAGAGTCATTGATCGAGCCCACAACCCGGGCATGTGCCCTGACCGGGAATCGAACCCCAATCGCCTGGATCCCAGGTCGATACTCAACCGCTGAGCCATGCCCGGCTGGGCTGCATTTCATTTTCAAAATTGAGCCATCAGCTGTTCAAGTGTGCATACGTTTTGGGGGGACACCCGGTATGTTGAGTGAGTGAACGAGTGAGTGAACAAATGAGGCTTAAAGAGTTCGTCTGTCCAAGGCCACGCAACCCTGAGAGCCAGTACTCAAGCTGAACCCTGTCCACTGCAGAGCATGGCACCTGGCTCTCTATTACAGCCTCTTACAGCCTGAGGCCTTCCTAGATATCATCCAACCCAAGCCTCGCATTTTGCAGATGAGGGTACAGAAGCTTAGAAAGGCTAAATTACTTCCCAGTGTCACACAGATTGTGTTTTGGCAGAGCCAGAGTCAGAGCCTAGACCCGTAGGCAGAGTTTTTGCACCATGAATTCAGCCTCCGCAGTTCTTATAAAATGAAAGGAAAATCCTATATGCATTTGCTGTACATCACCCACCCACTTACCCACGCCATAAACCTAAGTCATACTTGACACTTCCCTCTCTCTTACCACCCCCTTCATCTAATTAACTCTAAAGCCTTGTCAGTGTTCCTTCTAAAGATAGCTCAGATCTTTCCACTTCTCTTCATGTCCTCTAACCGTCACCCAGGCCACCAACACTCACCCATGTAGCTGTAGTGGCTGCCTGCCTGACCCGCCCCCGCCTTCTTTTGCCCCTTTCAGTCTATTTTTCTTTAGAGGAGCCACACTTATCTTCTAAAATGTAAATCTGACCATACCAGTCTGCTGCTTAAAATGTATCAAGGGCTGGAAGGTAAAGTTGAGGAAATTTCTAAGAAAGTAAAAAGCAGCCCAGTCGGCGTGGCTCAGCGGCTGAGCATCGACCTGGGGTCCAGGCGGTCGTGGTTCGATTCCTAGTCAGGGCACAGGCCCGGGTTGGGGGCTGGATCCCCAGTCGGGGGCACGCAGGAGGCAGCCGATCAGTGACTCTCTCGTCATTGATGTTTCCATCTCTCTCTCCTTCTCCCTTCCTCTCTCTGAAATCAATGAATCAATTTTTTTAAAAAAATTTAAAAACAAAGTAAAAAACAATGAGATGGAAAAGCAGGAAAGAAAAGAAAGTCAGAGGATGAGTTCAGTTCCAGCATCCAAATAATAAGAGTTCCAGAGAAAGCAGACAGATAAAAACAGAAATAAGAAAATAATCCATGGGGCTTCCCAGGAAATGTTCAAAAACCTGAAGAACACGGGTGTCCAGACAGAAAGCGGCCCTGAGTCAGGCACAGTCTCAAACGTGGCTTCTGCCCGCTGTCTCTCGGGAGTTACTGGAGGGTGTGCTGCGCTCAAGTGAAGAATAGGCCAAGGAAGAGGACAGAGGGCAGAGGAGACAGACGGACCCACTGTGCGCCAGGCGGCCGTGGCACCCCGACAGGCTTCCCGGCGGGGCGGGGGTGCCCAGGGGAACGAGGGCGTCAGGGGAACCGACGGCAGCATCCTGAGACTGGGCAGAGATCAGCAAATGGGGGAAGACGATTATAGGCTCCAGAGGACGAAAATGTTGTAGATGGGAGAAGAAGCCCTCATAGTTTACTGAACGGCTCGGCCGTATTTCATGATCTTAATAAAATTGACGAGCAGAGACTTCTCCAACATCATGTATCTACGAGGAAGGCGGCGGTGGGCGGGTGCCAAGGGGCACGGTGCGCGTGGTGCGGGGAGAGGAACGGAGATCAGAGCAAAAACACACTTATCGCCCATAGGTTTTGCCGAAAACTGAAACATAAAGAAGTAAAGATGCAAACGTATTGTGTAGAAACACGGCCGTCGTTACTAGAGGAATCGCCAGGAGAAGGGAAGTAGGGTTCCAAGGAAGGCGAGACACTGAGAAGGGCTGGGTCCTGGTTCCCCGAATCATTCTCACGGAGCTTAGTGGCTCTTAAACTATGCACGTGTGTAACTTCTTCAAAAATAAACTCTTTTTCCAAAGGCCGTTATATTTCCACAAATAGGAATAAGAAAACTTTTTAGAATAATAGCTTGATGGAAATGTAGTTCACACACCACAGAATTCACTCAGGGCTTTCAGTCTTCCGGCGGAGTGGTGCGACCATCGTCATGATCAGCTTTAGAGAACGTTGTCGCCTCTCGAAGAAGCCTCACGCCCACGAGCGGCGGGTCCTAGTGTGCTCTCCACCGTCCCATCCTAGGCGGCCACCGCCCTGCGCTCTGTCTCCAGATTTGCCTATTCTGGGCATTTCATATAAATGGAAGCATCACGTATGCTGTCCTCTGCATCTGGCGTCTTTCACTTTGCATAATGTTTTCATGGTCCGTCGGTGCTGTAGCGTGAATCAGTATTTTCTCTCTTTTTGTATTGCCAAATAATACTCCGTTTCATGGGCATACCACAGTGTGCTCATCTGTTCATTAGGTGACGGACACTTGGGTTGCTTCCACTTTTTGACTATTGTGAATAAAGCTGCCATGAACATTTGTGTACAAGTTTTTGTGTGGACATGTTATATTTTCTCTTGGATATACCGAGGAGTGAAATTGTACGGTAATTCTACATTTAACTTTTTGAGGAGCTGCTGGACTCTTTTCCAAAGTGGCTGCACTGTTTTATATAATCTCTCCACGTACTCGCCAACATTTATTTCCTGACTTTGATTATAGCCGTGCTAGGGGGTGTGGAGTGGTAGGTGTCTCACTGTCGTTTGGATTGGCACTGACATAACTCTTAAAATGAGAGATTAGGAAAAATAAAATAGGTTGACAAAACCCTATCTTGACAAGACTTTGAGGAAATAAACACTCTTATTGGGGATGTAATTTGGTAAAAAAGTTTGGAGGACAATTTGATGATATATCAGAATGTGAAATGTACTTAATCTTTGACCACATTTCCCATTTCTGGATATTTGACTTAAGGAGAAAAATCATATGTTGGGGGGGAAAAGTATCTTCATTGGATGACTGTTAATCATCGCATAATATCAAAAACTTAGAAACTAAGTTAAATGTCTATCAAGAAGAAAGTGGTTAAATAAATGATGATGCAGACATAAAAGATCTAGGCAGTCATTACAAATAATGATGTGGGTATATCATATATTTTTGCCGTGGGATTTTTGCTGTGGGTTTTTCCCAATCATATATTGATGGGGACAAAGTCAGATCATTGAATACTTGCCTGATAAAATCCCATTTGTGCATAATATCTTTATGCCTAGAGGTATTTTTTGAAATGATGTCCAGAATGTTAACAGTGACTATATACTAGCGGTGGAATTTGAGGTGATTTTTTTTAACTTTGTGCTTTGTATTTTTTGTATTTAAAGATATACCAAAGTTGGTGAGATTTGAATTTCTTCATTTTATACTCCAGTTTGATTTTTATTAATTGAAGGGAAAAGCTGTGCATATTAAAAATATTAGTATAAAACCAAGCAAAAAGGTATAATGACCTCAGTGGTTTTGTTTGCTCCTGTGATTTTTCCATTTATTTTTGCCTAACGTAAGTTGCATGGACTGCAGATCTTCAGCTGGTGCTTATGAATTGGCAGAAAAGGTTCATGCGTCCAACACTAAGATCTACCTGAAATACCATTAAAATTTAATTGTCGATATTTGTAATTTGGTTATTATTGTTTTTGCTGTTTTGTTGTGATTGAAATTTAGTAAAATTTATTTAGACTATTGTACTATTTTCCTGGGTTATAAAATCAACAACAAAAGAAACTCATGTGATATATTACTAGTAATAATTATGTTGTTTGATTCAAGTTGAAATGGCTTATACTGAACATTATTTTAAAAAGCTGTTTCTTAAGATGATGCCTACAGAGAATGATTATAGCAGAGACTTCTGTAATAAAAGAAGTCTGTCCCCTTGTGTTTTGCAGGCATCTGGCCGGCTGAAGAGGTTTTGGCTTACTACTGCCTCAAGCACAGCGATACATTCAGGTACAAAGCTGCACTTAAAAATATTTTTTTTGAGCCCAGTATGGGCATTGTATTTGCATATTAAAGATTGTTATGATTACGTTCTTCAAATTACATTGTTAAAAATGTAAAAAAGGAAGGAAAAAAAAGGTAGGGGAAGAAAGAAGGAGGGAGGGAGGCAGGGAATAAAAGAAGCCAGAAAGAAAGGAGGGGAAGTTCATGGGGAAAACATGTTGCTTCTGAAAAATCTGAATTGCCTTTGGGTACTAATATTGCACAGCAAGCTTTTTGCTGTATGTCAAAGACTTTTGATTTTCACTCAAGGCTTTTTATTTCACTTTGATTTAGGGGAAACAAAAGTGAAGCTCCAATCAATCCTTACTGATTGTAAAGGTCAACCCCCCCCACAAAAACAATAAAGACATTCTTTAAACTTCTGCTAGGGAAGTCACTACAGAATTTTTGATAAATACCCCACAGCTATTATTTAAAGGTGTCATCCCACCCCTGGTTTGTAAAGGTGTTTTGTATACTTAACAACATGTATTTATAAAACATAGTAATGAATAGTAATTACAGATTCATGCTACAGAAATAAATGTTTTCAGCTGTCAGTGTGCACTATAGATCAAGCCCATGGATGAGATTTAGGAAAAAGAAAAAAACCTCCTTTTATTTGAAAATTCTAAAGATGTTTGGTAGACCCAGAAAATATAGGTTTTTCATTTTAAATCTCATTTTATAAAAGTCATCCAATATATGTTTCCTGAAGAGCCCATTCTGATTCCAGACAAGCCGTTAGTGATCAGGGGGTGTGTGCTTTAGCAATATGTACTTACAAGACCAGGCCAACAATATATATGTTTTGCAGCTCTCTGGGTCCTTATTTACCAACCAGCCTATAATTGCTTTGCACAACTAAATACTCATTAAGTGTATTCCAGACTATGAATGTTCCTGTTGGGCTCTTTCTCCCCCCCTTCCCTCTCTTTCCACCTCCCTCTCTTTTAGTGATGCTTTTTTCCTTCTTGTGAGGTAATAAACTTCCCAAGCTGGGAAGAAGACACAGTCTTAGAGCCTCAGCATATAAAATAAGAGCAGGGCCATGTTGAATTTGGGCCGCGGAGCCGCCCTGGAAGCCTGGCGTTTGCCCGTCTCGCTGTGCTTCGGCTTGGCTGGAGCTCCGGGCAGCGGGCAGCGGGCCAGGGCGAGGATGCCGCACGTTGAGGGCTGACATTTAGGCACAAAGAGGAAGGTAAGTGCAAGCGCCACATTAGACTGTCAGCGTCAACTCAGCCGGGAGGCCACAGCCCGCGCACTGCAGCCCGGCTGCGGGCTCCGCCATGCTGCGCCCCCGCATGGTTTATCCGCGGTGTTGTGTTGGGGCCAGTTGTGATTTAAGTGTTAATTGCTAAATGCTCTTTGTGTAATTGTTCTCTATGGGGGCGGTTCAGCTTTCCCAAATGTTTCGGTTTGTTTTAGATTTTTTTTTTTAATTCAAGATCGCATTTATTTGTGTGTGTGTCATGTGTGTGTGTGACTATAATATAGGTAAATACACACTCATATATATTCTTCATTTACTTGTCTAACTGTTTTTGAAGGAATGAATGTGGATTAACAGTGTTATCCTTTCCTAACAATTATCTTTCGCTACTCTAGCTAGTTTAGTTCTAAAAGACAGCGCCATTGACAAGGGAAAAAAAGGGAACCTTCTCAGATTTTTCAGCTCAGCGGTGGTAATGTTGCAGTGAACACTAATGAGGGAACCCCCACTGATTTGCCTGCTTTGTGACTTTTCTATTTCATAATTATTTTTAAAACGCAAAACGACATGAGGTAGCCTAGTCATGTCTCTACAACTTCCTGGTAGCGCCGTTCTTACTGCAGATGGCAATTTGTTCTTGTAACATATATATCTCTGACCATTTTCATCTAATTTGTATGGGTTCTACCATTTCTTTTCTCTCTTTCAGGGGCCTTGCTGTGTGTGAGCTAGGGGGTGGCATGACATGCTTGGCTGGGCTCATGGTAGGTCTTTTCTCAATTCCAATCCCATTCAGAGGGAGGAACAAAAGGAAAAATGTTCCAGGGCCTCCAACTGCTGGGTCAGAGAACCGTCAACAGCATCAGCTGCGGTCAAGCTGCCGGGTCTTGAGAGACCTTCTAGATTGACTTACTTTCGGATCATATTGATTTTATGGTTGCCTCGATGAGCAGAAACATTTTGCCTCAGAGAGTCAATATCGCTTGTCGTGACATCCCAGGCCTTGCGCAGTCTTTCTTTGCCATAGCGAAAGCATTTTTTTTTCTCTTTCAGATTATAGTCCCATTTGCTAAGATACAGGAATAGCCCGGCGAATCACAGTTGGAGCACCATGATATAGCTGCTAATGTTTTGCCTGCATTATTACACCAACAAACATGATCCAGAGCGCTCAGTAATTAGATTCTTTTGAATTAGATTGGCCATTCAGGAACGTCGTTCCCCATTCTCTGGGTTCTGAGTCATGTATTCAGGAGATACTATGTAGCAGCACAGTGCATTAGACAAGTTTTTATGTCTCTACAAATAAAAGCATATTGTTACACTGATTGGCATTTGACAAACCTGTCGCTCTTACACAATGTGTCGAGGTTACAGCCCAATGTGCGAGCATGTCAAAGCTCACAAAAAAATTACCCTCACAAAGCCATCTGCCTGCAATGCAAAGTTATATGAAGGGCATCAGGCAGTCAGACAGAAGCAAGCTGAAAGGCAGAGTGACAGCCTCGTATGATGGCTCTACTAGATAAACAGAAGCCCACAAATGAAAGCCTCTCAGAATACCATCATCCGCTGTCACAATGCAATTACCGAACAGAATGATAGCAAGATAGAGGCTCCCGCAAATGGAATGATAAAAGTATTGACTGATTTGATTGAATGATTAAAATAATGCAGACATAAAATGAAAAAAGATTGAAGATTGTTACAGAGAAATAGGTGAGGAAGCATGATACTGAAGGCTTGTCACTCCCGTCTTCACTTCCACACAGACAAGCATATTTGTTCATTGTTTGCTGTGCTCCCTTTTTTTTCCAGGTTGCTATTTCTGCAGATGTCAAAGAAGTTCTGTTAACTGATGGGAATGAAAAGGCCATCAGAAGTATCCTTATTCAGACAGGAAACGGTTTGTTGTGCTCGTTCCTTTTTCCCCCGGCTGAGTAACAATTGATATAAAGAAAGACAGCATGGGGTATTAAAAAAAGAGTTCCCCATACACAGGATAAGTAATTAAGGAAAAGTAGAAATATATGGAGTTCATTGGGTGAGATTAAGTGTGTGTGTGTTTTTATTTTGATAGATTTTTATAGTCACTTATTAAAGGAGCCTACAATTTGTGGCTCACTCAAGGCAATAAGAATATTTGTTTCATAATAATTTTCAGGCATTCTTGTTCATTTATTTCCATTGAAATTTGCCAGTATAAATGATTTAATATTTATTATATTGGATATTGCTTACAAAAATTAACTTCCAACTTCATGTTCGCTATTACCTTTCCTGTGTTTGATATTGTACATACGTGCCACATAATATTATGCCTACTCTAATTGCTAAGGAGTTACTTATATCTCCCCGCTGCAAACAGCTATCAGGTTTTCATTATTTCCTTTTATTTAGGATTATAACAGCTATCTCTTTTTTTTTCTGCCATGCTATTACAGTTCAAACCCCATTATATTAGATTATGCTTTACTAATATGTACACAGAGTTCATGAAAATTGAACTGTACTCTAACTAAGAAAGCAAGCATAATTTGTGGCTACTTTAGCAATCGAGCTGATTTGTTCAGGGGCAGTTAACAGCCGTTAGAAATTGAGAGGAAACATGGGATATATATTTGCTTTGGATTTTTTGGCGTGCCTTACATTAGCATTATGAAAGAGGTAATCTCCTTATTTGAATTTGAGGCTCCTAAAATGTCAAAGCAGGTCTGATTTTTTGCGGCATCTTACATAAGGCCTTTTTTTTTTTTTTCTATTTTCTTTTTCTACCTCTGCTATGTAATTTTTTGAAAATAAAATTTGCAGCAGCAGCTCCATCAGGCTGCTCAAACAGGAGAAAGGAGGTGCAAGGAGCACAGTAGCTAATATTGTTCAGCGGCACTGTGTGCTCTGCGGAGCCCCACCCAGCTAATTGCCTGACAGACTTAAAAAAATTCAGGAAGGAAAGACAGCCAATCACAGTCTTGGCTTTTCACACAAGGGAAAGAGATCACAAAAGGTGCTTCCTTTTTTTAAATGCAGGATTTTAATCATGATCTTCAGACTGTCGCAAGTTTCTCAAAATACTCCTGAAGATGAGCTGATGTTGTTCATTCACTCTGCTTTTATTCCGAGTTGTTTCATGCGCGGTATCATTTCACTGTGCTCCTCCTCTGTCAGGGAACAGAGGAGCGGAAGTCAGGTAGCTGGCTCAGCCCCAGGGATATGCTCTTTCGGGGGGAAGGGGCAGGATTAGTGGACAAGAGAAGGTCATTTTTAGCCACAGAAACTTTCAGACTGGGCCCAGCAACCTGAGGTTTTCCTTAAGTCAGCAGGTGTCTTATTTAATAGCCTCAGACACCAATTAGAACTTTTAACAAACTATGGGAAACATCTGTAGTCCGTATGTAAATTTAATTACACTAAAATTATTGTCGAGCTAAACTACAGAACTTTGAAAGAAGGGAAGCAACGCTAGTGTCACTAATTAGCGCACCTTTGCTTTCAACAGCAAAGAAGCCGTGCCAGCCCTTGAAATCAGAGAGGAAATCTCAGATTCTGTATTCACTCCGCCGGCCTTTCAAAGCAGTGATTGGTACAGCCCCCTCCCAAGAAAATGGATTTTTAACATTTGGTCCTCAGAAGCTCAGCCCCGAGAGTGCTTTATTGTGCTGGGTTTTACAATGGGTTTAATATAGCGGGGTGCCAAAGGGCAGGAGGGGAAGAACTTTACAATGTAGATAAAGTAGGTCCTTTCAGGATGCAGACCACAACTGGTAGTGTTTTATTTCGCCTCTTAGGACTTTCCTGGTGCAGTGCAGTTTTTGTCATGCAGTTGTTCTATATTTGTGTGCATTTTTCTGTTGTAACCAGATCTAATTTTTTTTAATTAAGAGGAAAAAAATGCATAAAGCCTTAAAAACTGGCAATGTGTTTTTCCTGCTCTTAATACTAATAATATTCTTGATTTGCTAACAGAGCTTACAACTGGCATTCGTCATGAGTTTTACTGATTGAGGTTAATATGAATGAAATTTTTTTTCTATTTGTGTGCCCATTTTCTGTTAGAATAACTAATTCACTGAATCACATACTGTTGATGCATATAGATCGAAACAGACTCGTTTAAAAATTACTGTTTACATCTTTCCTTTAAAATTTTAGGAAGCCTAAGTTATATAGCAGTTGTAGGATATTATTCAAAAATTACTTTCCAAAAAGTAGAAGTAGACGTCAACAAAAAAAGGGGAGAAACGTTGCCAGAAGCCAGAAAAATCTCTGAGCAAAGCTAATTATTCTTAATGGGGAAGATGAGCACATTAAGAAGCAAATGGACACGTCAGTGAAATGTGATTGAAAATCGACCCGGCAGGCGCACAGCATATCTGGGTACTGGCCTGTATATTATTCTCATCGTTTTAAAAATTATTTTTGTTGTTCTTGACATCTGAATTTAATGAATCTGACTGAGACTTACTTCCTAGCCTCTCAATCTTCTAACATGCTGATTCTTACCTTTTTATCTTCTGCTACTTCCAGTTTTTAAATATGTGAGGCGGTGTGTTCTGAATCTTTATGTCATAGAAACACGTCAGCCAGTTGTGAGGTCATTTTATTTGCTATCTTCCTGAAATGTATCAGGTGGATTGGCTACGTCCTCTAGGGCTCTCTACCTTAACCCGGAGAGCTAGATGCCAATTTGAGATTTATTAAACAGAGATACCTGAAAAGAGATTAAGGCTTGAGGTATAAGTGAATGTTGTAAGGCCTGGATGTTTTCCGAGACCCCTGGGGAGGTGTCCCTGAGGTTCTCCTCGGTCCTTCAGCTGCACTGCTGGGTCTAGCACAGAGCCCCCTGCCTCGGAGCTGCCCCTCCTTACAGGCGCCGGGATTCAGCTGTACCCCGAGAGAACAAAGGGGAAGTTAGAAAATAACATCATTTAGTTCATCCATTTCTCAGATTTATCCCGAAATAGTGTGAAATGTGTTCCCTTCTCTTTGGCCCTGCCCTTTTAGTGTAATCAAGAAAGAATTCTCCAAGTGCTCACAGGTAATAATTACTCCATAAAGTCTGTAGCTGGCGATGGCAATGACATGAGAATAGGGGAGAGAAAGGATATACCGAGTATTATTGATGCTAAGCTTCTTCCAAATCCTAATGAATAAAAGTACAACATCTCGCCCTGGCCCTGGCTGGTTTGGCTCAGTGGTTAGAGTGTTGGCCCATGGACTGAAGGGTCCCGGGTTCGATTCCGGCCAGGGGACATACCTCGGTTGCAGGCTCGATCCCCAGCCCCGTTTGGTATGTGTGCGGGAGGCAACCAATTGATGTGTCTCACGTCAATGTTTCTCTCTCTCTCTGTCTCTCTCTCTCTGAAAGGCAATGGGGGGAAAAAAGTACAACACCTAAAAGGTCAGCAGCCCTCTCTGATACACTCACTAATTTGCCCAACACAAGCACCCTGCCCTGACCCCTCCTTAGTAAACATCGAGTTATCTGCAGCAGGTGGCAATGCTTGGTGACCCATCTCTTGTGCCTCCGACTCGAGCATCTTATCCCCACAGTATGCAAGGTCTGGATCATGATCTCAAACTTAAGATTCTTTAAAAATTGGTAAATTTCATGTACATTTTAAAGGAGATACCCCTGGCTTAACATTATTTTAACAGAATACCTGACTTAAGGCATTAATAAATGAAGCTTCATGTGGACTGTGCAGCCTGGGTTGTGGATGGTTGGGACCTTGGGAATGCCGGGCCCCTTCCTCCAATATCAGTGCCAGCTGAAATATTGATGCAAATACTTCTGTTTACTAGATGAATCATAAGTGGACTCTACGTGCCTCACATTGGGCAAGAATTCAACAAATAGCTTTAAAAATTAATTAATTCAACCAGTATTAATTGCATGCATTTCAGGTGCTAAAGATACAGCGGAGGACAAGATAGACCAAGTCCCTGTCTTTGTGGGACACAGGCTATGCCTTGGCTGGAGCACATTTATACACGTGAAAGACACTGGAAATCTACAGGGCAGAAGTTCTTTGATTCCCTCCAGTTATTTAAATTATACAATATAAATGTTCACTTAATTAGTTCTGAGTAGCAGGGAAAGAAGATAAAGCTTAATTGCCAAACCTCATTTTAATTATAATCACCAGCCTCTTCATCCCTCCAAAGCTTTTACTTGAATTATTGAAAAAAGAGAATGAATTGACATGAATTAGGCACCTACTATGTGTCAGGCTCCTCACATGTGGCACTCCATTAAGCCTGTAGAGTAGGAATCATTCCTATTTTTGAGGTGGAGCTCAGAGAGGTTCGTTTGCCCAAGTTCACACAGCACCAAGAATTGGAACCAGCACTAGGAGCCAGGTTCATTGGACTTCAAGGTGTGTTTTTTCCATTAAACAGTTCTCTTTACCAAAAGCTAGAATGCTTTGCTGAGTGTCATCTTGCATTTCCTCAGCACCCTCTGGAAGAAAAGTTGTCTCATCCACGGACAGCAGTTGACGTTGCTAAAAGAGCCCAAAGCATCCCTCATCTTCTCAGTGCATTTGAGTAATAAGCACATTTAGGAGTATTTTGCAACCTTTAAATTAGCAAATATTATAACATCAAGTAATTTTAAAAACTTTAGAGATCAAAATAAACAGGACTTATTTATATTATAATTTCATAGTTTCCCACCCTCACCTTTGATGTTCCAATGAAAATAAAGGAAACATGAATCAAGAAAGTAATGCCTTGTGAGTCACAATGTTACTGTTTTTAAAATATTTTCTTGTTTAAAGAACAATATCAATTCTCAAAATGTCTATGTGGCTACCAATAAATATAACAATTACTAATTGCAGAAGGAGGTTAATATTTTAAATAATGTTATATATTTAATATTTTGCATAACTTGTTTAAATGACTGTTGTTGTTATTATGCAAAAATATAATTTTAAGAATAAAAATCAACTGAAACAAAATTATAAGGGAATCCCACTCCTGAACTTTATTTGAGAAGAAAATCTAGAGCTAAAATCCTGTTCTCCTTTCCACCATGAGCATAGGTCCTGTAGCTCTGGAATTCCAGTTGCCCAGACAAGGAGACTGGAGGTGGTTCCTCTGTATCCATTTAATCAGAAGTCCCTAAGGCTTTCTTTGCACCCAGCACCTCCCACTGAAGTCTTCCAGAAGGTGGGTGCAGTTCAGAGAACAGGATTTGGTTCATCCTGTTAAAAACTGTCCTAGATGTGTTGACTCAATTTAATTGAATTTCCTCTATTACCCTGAGGTGACACAGAAGAAAGATAAAATTTCTTGTTGGACACAGTGCCAGCTAGAGGAACCACCTCAAAACCTGACCTAAAGTAAAGGGTGGGGAGCAGAATGTCAGAATATATCTCTTAAGGTAATATTTTAATACACTATTGACATTTTTTCCTCTTTGTACTTGTTTGAATATAAAAAACACCTCCTAAGCCACATAATATAGATTCTTTCCAGTTCTAAAAATAAAGCAGCCTAAATACTGCTGTGACTTTTTTCATTTAAAAAAATTGCTTCTAGAATATAAATACATATGCTTGCTTCAGCCTAACCACCTGGAGTCCCAGGTTTATAAATTGTATAAAAGTATATAGTGTTAAGATGTTTACTAAAAATTATTAATAGGTTTCCTGAGTTATATAATTTAACTTCCCTGTGACTATTTTATAAAAAGTATTACCTCCACTAACAAAATGATATGTTTGGTTTGATAGATTAGTCATGTACTCACAGGACGAGACAGGTGTACCTGTGGGTGACGGCTTGCCGTTGGATGCCATGGAAACCCCGAGAAGGGTGTAGCCAGAGCGCAGGGGAGCTTAATCAGAAACAGTTGTCAGTCGACTCTCCTAATTTTGTTCTGCTCAGAATAAAGATGTCAGCTGTCCTTTTCTATAAGACATTTCATGTAGAAGACTTTCCTGAAATACTTTCTTCCTGAAATAGAACTGTAGGCCGATGTGCCATTTTAGTTAATCAAAACAAGTAGGCAAATTAGTCTCTTTTATTTTTTAATGAATGTAATTTAACGGTATTTAATTTGCATACAGGAAAGTTCATCCGGGAAAAAAAAAGTCTGCATTATAGCACTTTTGTAAACCTCAACACAGCCCTTCACTAGGAGACCTGATTGACTTTTCCTCCCGCTCCTGGGGGAAGAAAGCGATCTCGGCACCTGCCTATTTACTCAGGGAAGAAATGGGTGTGCCTGCTGTTTCAAGCAGGGATCTGGGTTAGAGTCCCGTGGCTCCGTTCTCGCAGGGAGACCTTGGCCAGTGCTTGTTTCAAGCATTCAGGAAATCTGTTGTTCTGAGCAATAGGGGAACATCGCTTGTCTGCCTGGTGTCCTCCCCATGGGCCCAATTTAGTTCAGCTTGCAGCCTTCTCTGGAATTATTTTATTTCTTGTTTATTTAAACCTGCCTTATTCCAAAAGAGGGATTTTGAGGTTTCTTACAGCGACACGTAGAATATACCTTATAAAGTAAATGAGAAAGTGAGGGCGATTGGAAATGAGAAAGCCAAGAAAATATGATGAAGCCAAGAATGGAGGTCAGTACAGAAAATATACGCAATGGGAGCTCTTGTGGCCGTCAGACTTCGGTCATACATTGGCCCTGAGCTGCACAGGGACTAGAGCAAGAGGAGAGAGAGGAACAGTTAAAAGTTATGGTGTCCAGGAGTTGAAGCAAAACCAGTGAATCTGAAGCCTAGCTTTTCTCACGTTGACACCCAGCGTGACGCCGGGGCCCGGCTCCTCGAAGCATCTTCTCACTAAGCACGGCTCTTTTCGTACAAGTCCTCACACGCCAGCAGACGGCCAGAGGCCAGAGCGTAAGTCTGTAAGGACAGTTCGTCAGGCGCCTTTCACTGGACTGACTTTCTTCTGGGGTAATTCCTTTTCCCTCAATGATTCTCCAAGCTTTTCTCCATCCTTCTTGTCTCACTTTCTCCAGGTCTTTCCTCCTGCTCACCCACCCTCCCTACTAGCATTCGGGAGACTGGAAATACTTCAACCTGGAAAGTCTCAGAAGGCTGCCAGGGCCGTCCCCACACACTGAAAGACCTTTGCCTTTTTAGGACGTGGGGCCTGGCACCTATGGAATGGCCATGTCCCCCCATGAATGCCCATAACCCTGGGCCTTGCCCGGATGCTCCCTGAATGTGCATTTCCCTGTAACAGAACTGCAGCCCAGGGAATTAGAAGAGCTGGCCTGCGGCAAGTCATTCAGCATTCGGTGGTAGGGCCAGGGCTAGGACCTTCGCCGTCTGCTTACACCCTATGGCTCTTCTCTTCTCGGTGCTGATCCCACGTGCGATAAGGTCACTGTGTCTGGGGCTTTTATTTATTTATTTATTTTTAGTCAATTGATGGTCGATGCAGAAGCTTTCTTAACTGTGTCCACTAGACGTGAGAGACATCATCAAAAGGAATCAGGAGGCTGGTGTGTTTAAGGCTCGGAAAATATCAAGCTGGTAAGATACCTTTCTGCAGCAGTACACTCTGGTTGAAACTGCTTTTCTCCATACTGTGGGTGATTATTAAAAATAACAATAACTAATGTTTAGTGAGCACTTATTGTGTGTCAGGCACTGTTCTAAGCACTTTATAAGTATCTTATTTAATGTTCACAAGAACTGTAATGAGGAAGGCATTCTCGTTACCTTCAATTAATAGATGGAAAAAACTGAAGATAAATATATTATATACTGGGTAGGAATTATTTAGGGTTGAGAGTGTACAGTATGAGGTTGGGAGGAGCCTAGCCTAGGACCTTTTTTTTTTAATGATTGATTGGTTGACTTATTTTTTTATTTTTATTTTTTTTAGAGAGGAAAGGAAAGGAGAGAGAAAGAGATGGGACAGAGAGGGAGAGAGAGACATTGATTTGTTGTGCCCCTTATTTTTGCACTCATTGGTTGATTCTTGTATGTGCCCTGACTGGGGATCGCACCCTCAGCCTTGGTGTATTGGGACAATGCCCTAACCAGCTGAGCTACCAGGCCAGGGCCTGGGACTTTACAAATGGCTGTATTCCACTGGTTCCCAACATGGGGGCCTTTTTTATTGTCATGACTGTGGGGTGGGGTCGTTTACTGGCATTCAGTGGGTAGAGGTCAGGGATGCTGCTAAACATCTTACAATGCACAAGACAGCCCCTGCAACAAAGAAGTATCTGGCCCAAAATGTGAGTAGTGCCCAAACTGAGAAACCCTGCTTGATTCCATGATTTTAAAACAGTCTAGGGTCCATTGCTGTTTAGATTTTGTTCATTTTTATCCAAACGAGAAGAAATGCTTACCCTCAGCCAGGGTGGTGGTGCATTTTATGTTTGCCTTGTTGCTGTGGGCCTACAGGGATGAGTGAACGCACTTAGTAGTCTTCACATGAATTATCTGTATTTGTGCATTTTTTCTTTCATATGTTTAGCCCCAGACATTATTAGAACAGTCTAATTTTTAATCATTTAATTTATTATGGTTAATCTGTCATCCTTGGGGAATTTGAATTTTCTATAAGTTGAGGCTGTTTTCCCTCCCCAACTGCTCAGCTTGGCGGGGACCTGGGGGGAATGAAGAGTGACAATGCTTAAGAACTAAAGTGGTCAACATATTGGGATGAGACCATGGAACAGCAATAATTTTTTTCTCTTGTTAGATTTGTTGGTAAATGTCATGAAGTGTCCAGATATGTAGTTTTAAATCCTGCATTAGCATGCTGACGGATGGCACAGTGTGCTCTGCGTTTCTCATATAAATGAACAAACCAGTTCTGTTTCCCAGAAAAACCTCTGGCTGGTCCAAGAAAACCCACCCTTCATTCCCAGGACAGCCTTGGCCCCGCAGTGCAGACCACCATACCCTTCTGGGAGCACTTCATTTTTGGACGTGATGTCTAACCTGGTCTTTTAGTTATCAATCAAAAGCACATTTGCTGTGTTCTCCTCATTTACATTTATTTAATGCTTAAGGTCATTTGTGACCATTTGAGTGTATTTCAGCATATGGAATCAGGGAATAATAGATTTCAGCATCATGCTGTGAAGAGAGATTGTGTTTTTACAAGACATAATGTTGTTTACTGGGTGTTAATAATCATTAATTAATAAACATATCTAGACTTCTAAAATGTTGCATTTTGAGGAATCCAAATGTCAAGTGTTTAACTTATGGAGCGTAGTAGTATTTTCTATCATCTTTTCATAAAATAATTAAGTTACATAAAGAAGTAAACTGTCATTGTTCAGAACAGGACGTATCCAAAGTGCTTAATACATGGCCTCTGTTTCTATGATCTGTTCTCAAGAATGCTATTTCTAAATATATTGTTCTGACATGTATCTAGACATATAGTCTATATGTCAATAGTCATGAAAGAACCTCCAAGATTTTTTTTTTGGTCTTTATTGCATATTAAACTCGGGTCAGTTTCTTCCTTTTTAACCACCATGATCATTTTGTCCAAAGTCTACTAAAGCACTTTGTCCAAAAACAGGTGAATGCATCAGTCCTTGAAATGCCTTGATCTCTTATTAAGAAGCTACTTGGCCACTTAACCTTCAAGAAGCTAAGAGGAAACTGCCAATCCATGATGTAATAATCAGTATTCCCCTTCTATCCACTGCTTTTCCACCCATGACCAGTGCAATGATAAAAGCATTAGCTCCATGTGAGAAGAAATAAAAGGAAACCGTTGACAAAAGAGCTAAGATATGGCTCAGTATTCTTTTTAGTGCCTCAATGCATATGCAGAATTTCTTCTCCAAATAGGGGGTGTGGAATAACAGTAGTGACAGATAACTAAGAGGTATTTACCATAGCTACAGAGCCCACAAGTGAGCCAAATATTTCTGCTATTAAAAAGCACTTCAGAGCTTGACATGAAGTTTGTAACAGCTAAATGTCTCCTGTGACTTCATTTGCAAAGAAGATAGAAAAGCAGAAAGGAAAATCGTGATCTGAGAGCTGTGAGCCTAGGAAATTGTGTTTTTAAAAAGGAATGAGAAACCACCCAGAGATTTGACTAGCACCCCAGGCTCCCATTCTCACTGCTCTGACAGTGTTCTCAGCAGCAGCCAGCGTTCCCCCTGCGATCGAGCCTCTGCCTACCTCTCAGACAGGGCGGACCCGGGTTGTGTGGGCCTGAAACTTATTTTGAGGGCCCTCTCTAGGGCGATGAATTTGATTATTTCTTACTTTGGCAAGTTTTACAGAAGCATACTACCATGTGAACTCATTACTAGGGCTCCTCACGGGCCTTGGAAGGGGCCTGTGTAAGTGAGGGGTCCGGCACGTAAGCTTCATTAGCTCCACAGTAAATCCACCCCTGCTCTCGTAAACACCACCAACCCTCCTAGAATAATGCTCTTCCATTAGAAACTTTCTCACCCCCTCTTTTCCATCTTAATCCCAGTCTGACTGCTGCTAAATATGAAAGACATGTTTGGGAAAGCCCAGAAGCTTTAGCCCTGGCCAAGAATGACCTAGGATGTTCATATATGAAGCACATAGCAATTACGTCTCAAAGATCTTAATACAGTCATTTGACGATTCATTCATTTGTTCAGCCTGCAGCCATCCATTCATCTAACTAGTACATCAGGGTATTCTGCCTTTGAGAACACAAATGTGCGGTAATCAAGAATAATTCCTGAGCGGAGGGAACTGTGCTGCTGAATGTAGCTCGAGATTGGCGAGAGAGCAAATATATTGACGGCATCTCGATTGCTAGGTTTATCTGAAGCTGTCTTCAAAACTGTGGCTGCCTAATAAAGACCCATTCAGGGCTTTGGACGCCTGCATATTTCTAGGTGTTCCAGAATTAGTGAATGGCGTCATTCTATGGTTAATATTAACAGTTACAAATTTTTTTTTTAAATCTATTAAATATACCCTGCTGTGATATTAAAAGTGAATTTCTACTTAAGAAAAAAGGTTATCTTTGTGTGAAAATTGCTAGTGAATTTAGGACTGGGACTTTTATTGTTCTTAGATCAACCATTAATCTTAGTAAACCATGGAACTTATTATAACTTTTAAGGCTTTTTTATAACTCAGATTATACCTTTATGTGGGCCCCCAGGATTGACTATTGGCCCCATTGCCCTACTTCTTTGTAAGATTTATATCTTTTCTGAGGCTCATTTTCCTTGAAAGGTTAAATTGGGGGTGTGAAAAAGGATTTTTAAATGTAAGCCCCAACCCAGTGGGATCCGATGGGTGGTTTTTCCAGGCCCCTGCCGCCTGCTCGCTTTCCTCCCTCTCCTCATTCAGCCCGGCCCCACTGCCCCCAGCGCACCCCGTCTGCTCTGTCACCCAGCGCCTTCCCTCTCCCCACACCCTGGGTCCTCCCCATCCCTGGTCTTTGCCGACCTCACTGCCCCCTCGCCCGTCTAGGCCCTGCCTCCTAGGATAACCGACTCCGCTTCCGCTGACCTCTCGGGCTGCGGCAGCCTGCCCTCAGCTTTTCCTCCGTGTAACTGCTGTGGCCTTAGAGCAGTCCCACAGTAAAACATGCGCATTCTCTTACTGTTCAAAGCGTGTTGCCTTTGCTTTCATGTTCCCTGGCGCATTCAGTTCCCGACAGGTATTTCCCCCTTCTGCCTGCCAAGTACTATTCTAAGTGCTGGAGATACCGTGATGAGCAAGACTGAGAAGGGCCACGTCTTCGTAGAGCTCACATTCCAGCAAGGGAGGCAGATACGGTTTTCTGAGGGCAAGGATTCTGCTTAGTATGTTTTTGTGTTCTCTGAGGCAATCAGTATACTTTATCCCTGTTATATGAACGGTTTTAAGATTGGTATTTGGAGCACATTTTGAAAGATAGGGGTCCATACGACGTATGGAACCAAACAACCTTTAGGTAAGGACAGTCCAGCTCCAGACACCAGTTCATGTATCAGACGGCTGACTCTCACTTCAGGATGGGGTTCTTCTCAGGCGGGCACCTGCCGTGCCTGTCGACACACGACATTGTGAGCAGGTCTTTGTCTGTCCTTTGTCAGGCTGAAGAGGAAGGTTAGCAGAGGGTAACAGATAAGGGAGCCAAGAGCTCTCTTCAAGAAATGTTCTGATAAAATATACCTATTAGTGAGTTTGCTAGAATTATGGTAACATAATCTTGAGCACTGCTGAGAATTCTAGAGATGCTGGAGTCCTGTTTCCTTCTGTTGCTATCTTGGATATGGAAAAATGAAACTACTGTGTATACTTTCTATTACTAACATAACATTTTTTTTTATTTGCTTGACAAGTTTATAGGACTCATGCCCCAGCTTTTTTGCACCAAAGAAACCAACAGGAATGTTATACAGTTTCAGATATTTTGAGAGTTTTTTTTTTTTAAATGAGCCAGATTTCAAAATATGGGACACTGTATTTTTAAAGGCCCTATAAACTGCAGCAAATTTAAAATTAAGGCCTTATCTTCTAGAATAACATTGTAGTGCCTCTTTGGCCCTGCTGATCCATACTCT